CTTCTGAAAACGCATGAAAACTAGCGAATATGTACAAAGATATAAGTTCTTTTTTAAAAGAAAATATTGTATAAATTTATAAACATTTATATAATAAAATTATATTTTTTGTGGATATTTTCACACTTCTAAATCTTTACAAACGCATGAAAACTTGCGAATATGTACAAAGATATTCTTTTTTAAAAGAAAATACTGTATAAATTTATAAACACTTATATAATAAAATATTTTCGCACCTCTGAATCTTTCGCAAACGCATAAAAACCAGCGATCTATTAATAAAAACTAATCGACATCCATACTCAATAATTTTACGAATAATTTTGCTTTAGCAAATGCTAAATTAAGAACATGCATTAAGAGAAAATAACAAAGAGAGGAAATATATACGTCTACGTTTAAGTAAGTAGCAAACTGAGAGAGAAAATAATAAAAAAATGCAAAGGCAAGTGCTCGATGCTCGAATAAATTGACGCTCCTCCGTTAGCCACGGCATCGAGCCACAATCACAAGCTTATTTCGTTAACTTCCCTCGGTACTTCCGCACCTTCGCGCCATTTCTTCCACCCCCTCCGAGCTCAATGGACCAGCATCTCATTATGCTATTTCGCGGGCTGGTTGAATGCAGTTGCGCGAACCTCTCTCTTCACTGACCCGTTAAAGAAGGACAATCGCTCGAAAATAAGATACTCGTCGAGAAGGACAATCACTCGAAAAATAAAACACTCGTCCGGAATTATTGCGCGGCGAGGTGTGGCGCGCGAGCACGAACAAAGAGGTCTCGAACTCACCGCCGACCAAACGATTTGGATAAAAGCTTCCGAAACATTGAGATATACAACGTGATATATATCGACGTTCGTTTCTCGACGTCTGAAGAGCGCGATGTATCACAGGGTATATCGTGACAGCTCGAAATAACGCGAAGAATGAAACGAGGGAGGTTGCGTGATCCTGTCAGGAAATTGCGCAAGTTTCGCAATGTATGTTCTTAACGACATTATATCAAGTTACGATCTGTTTGATACTGTCTTGTTCTGTGGCAAATAAAGCGATCGAAATTGAGTTGCGCGTAATTTGAAAAGTACAGAAACTACAAAGAAGATGCTTAGATTGAATTCGAGAGATGAAACGATCGAGATCGAGTCTTTTGTAATTTCTTCATTTCTTCGTTTGACTGAAATTAGGACGATGTTTAAGTTAAATTAACGATCGTTTGATACGTCTTGTTTTGTAGCAAATAAAGCGATCGAAATTAAGTTGCACGTAATTTGAAAAGTACAGAAAATACAAAGAAGCTACTTAGATTGAATTCGAGAGATGAAACGATCGAGATCGAGTCTTTTGTAATTTCTTCATTTCTTCGTTTGACTGAAATTAGGACGATGTTTAAGTTAAATTAACGATCGTTTGATACGTCTTGTTTTGTAGCAAATAAAGCGATCGAAATTGAGTTGCGCGCAATTTGAAAAGTACAGAAAATACAAAGAAGCTACTTAGATTGAATTCGAGAGATGAAACAATCGAGATCGAGTCTTTGTAATTTCTTCATTTCTTCGTTTGACTGAAATTAGGACGATGTTTAAGTTAAATTAATAATCGTTTGATACGTCTTGTTTTGTAGCAAATAAAGCGATCGAAATTGAGTTACACGTAATTTGAAAAGTACAGAAAATACAAAGCTACTTAGATTGAATTCGAGAGATGAAACGATCGAGATCGAGTCTTTTGTAATTTTTTATTTGACTGAAATTACGAGGACGGTATTTAAATTAAATTTAACGATCGCCTGATGGAAATGCGGTTCGCTATTATTTGTAAATGCAGAGAGCACGAGTTACAATTACGGTGTTGCGTCACAATATCACGGAGGAGAGCTGTTGCACATGCTGTGTTTGAGTTACTTGAAACTGTGCTTTATGCAACATTTTCGCCGAACGCCGCCATGTGGTGCAATTACGTAGCATTACAAATTCAGTACTCAAACGATTCCATGTTATAAAACACGCTGCCCTGAATAATCGAGTCGTACATTACAAAATAAACGCAACGTAATATCATTAATAAATAAACGAGCCTTCCAACAATTAATGCGCTAATGTTTCAAGTAAACAGCAACCACGAGTGATCAATACTTGATCGATGCTCGAAAACAGTCGTCATAAATCACGCGGAAAATGCCGAACGAAATTCTTCGAAAATTTCATACACGTTTTTCTCCCTATTTCCCTACGTTCTGAATCTCTCGTCATTTTCGCCAACATCGTTCCAGACGAACAGAATATTAACAGAACGACTGTCGTTGTCGTAAAACTTGGAAACAACGCGGCAACCTAACCCGGGAAACGCTGAATATTAAATTCAATTTGTTTCCGCGTTAGACGCGGCGCAACGCCGAGAAGCGACGCGTGTTTCCATCTCCACGGATTTACATAAGTGACTTATGGTCAGTGGGCATTAGCCCTGCACCGGAGGGACGGCCCGCTCCTCGGGTATCTTTGATGTGACGTGTTCGCATAGGGATTCAAATGAGGGATGGTCGTTATGAGGCTGGGTGTAGAATATCATACGCGTGCGTTCGTATTTGGTTTCGTGGCGCGCGTGCCTGCTTCGCGAAACGGGTGTCTGTGTGCTTTCGTTACACGGCCAGGAATCTGAGAACGAAGGAACATAAGAGCGCGTGGAACATGACATCGCTCCGATTTTTGTTCTGGAAGCCAAGGTGTGACTTCTGTTTCAGAGTGATCTCAATTTCAATTTCATCGTTCTGATTGTTATTAATCATCGAGCAGATTCGATAATGTCCGATATCAATTTCCTACGCTGCCGATAATAATCGACGTGATAATTATTAAACTGGCCATAAAACGATACTCAATGAAGCTAAAATAACGATATCGATAGCTGATGCGTAGAAACGTCACCAGAACGCAATACCCGCGTACTTCAATCAATACACTGAATTATTCCGTGATTTTATTAAAACGTGAATTAAAAACAGAATTAAAACGAAAGAAAAATATGATATACATATACAGGGTGGGAAGAAAAGTTTGTCCGTGGCTATCACAGATCGATTTGATAGAAACGCGTGTAAAGAACTTGCCTTGAATTTCAAGGTCGAAAATTTTTTCTGCTGTACTCTACTCATCACGAAGGTAAAACTTTTCTAAAGAACCTAATGGCTCTCTTGAAAAATGGCAAAGAAGTTTTTTAATTATTTTACGTGTGTTCTAACAGCGACTTTATGGTTCTGGACGCATGGACGTGTAATTTACGTAATTTTCGTATTAGGTTTCACTAACATTTGATTTATCACAGTTGTAGCATTAACATCAAATGATAAAACTAATTCTTAATATTATTCGAAATATAAATATTACATTCCCATGCGTCTAGAATTATGAAGTCACTGTTAGAACTCACACGTCCGCAGTATTAAATGATTTAAGAAACCACTGTATACCACTGATTCAAAAGTGACTGCTACAAACTAATAATAAAACTAGCTGTTAACATTATTCGAAATATAAATATTACATTTTTGCGTCTAGAATCATAAAGTCACTGTTAGAACTCACGCCTCTGCGGTATTAAATGATTTAAGAAACTTCCACACCATTGATTCAAAAACGACTGCTACAAACAAATGATGTTAAAGTTATTCGAAATACAAAAATTACATCTCTGCGTCTAGAATCATAAAGTCGCTGTTAGAACTCACGTTTAGAACTCAATTTTCATACTAGGTTTCACTAACATTTGATTTGTTGACAATTGTAGCACCAGTGTGAGTCTAAATAACCAAATGATAAAATTAACTGTTAACATTATTCGAAATATAAACATTACGTGTATAGATATCCACATGTCCAAAATTATAAAGTCGTTGTTAGGACGCACTGTTATGATTAAGAAACCTTTTTGCCATTTTTTAAAAGACCAGGAAAGTACGAATCAAAAAGGACATACAAGTGCAGTTATGAAGGATCCACAGGTAGTATAGCAATGCAGCAAGTATTGTAACATTTCTATATCTACAAATTCCGGAGCGGAAGTCTCGTCTTGTTCGAAAAGTTTTACAAAATTGTAGAGTATAATTTCCAATATATCCTCACACACACACAACAGTCTAGATAACAGCAACCATCACTGATATAACACAATTATGAATATACAACTTCCAGTGTGCCATTCCATCAAGGTGTAATAATAACCACTCGATACTATGAAAATTTAATACCCAACTAAAAGCGAGCTAAGCGTCGAATCCACGAGTGGTCGTAGCATTCGAAGCAACAGGGAACGCGACCCACGAAACGTAATCCGAGATTTCACGCGAAGATTATCAACGATGACTGTCGCATGAGGGTAGACCAAAATGGAAGCTGCGTAACGAGGCAGCCCCGCCACGGAAAGGGGTGACTGGCTCCGCAGCGGCCAGTTACAATTTTTCATCCATAATTAACTGTCACCATCGACCGGTCAAGTAATCAAAGTGGAAACAGAAATCCGTCACCGTCGCACATTGCCGTATTATTCGACGTGTAACCTGAACACAGCATCCTTAACCGTTATCCAAAAATCCCATACGTCCGCATAAATTTTCTAACATAATCTCGTTTGCGTGCATGCTAGAAATCGCATGTTTGCACAACGTAGCAGGCCTTTAGTCTTCACTCACCTATTTTTTTTTTTTTTTTTCTTTCACGTACAATTTTTTTTTTACCTATAATACCTATAATACCTATTTTTTTTTTT